GCACGTGCGCACACACACACACTTGCCCTTGCTACTTCCTCAGTCTAGAACACTCTCTCCCCCATTATCTTTGTGGGAAAGGTCTCCCTCGTGTCATTCAGGTTCTGTTTGGAAGGCACGCTGTCATGGAGGACTTCCCTGCCCACTTCTGGGTCATAGCTCAGCCAGAACCTCTCAAATCTCCACCATCTTCTGTTTGTTTGTTTTTTCAAAGCACATCTGGCTACCTGGCACTGGCTATTTATTTGTTTGTCGCATCGTCTAGCCTTCCCCATCACATTCCTGGAAAGAGGCACTGTGTTTTGATGGCTGTTGAGTCCTCAGCCCCGAGGAGCTGTTAAGCTCGTGCGAAGCACTTCCTGGACGAGGGAGTGATGACCGCGGGGCTCTGGGGCTCTGGTTTCGTGTGCATCTTCCAGCTCTCCCAACAGCCACTGGCGTTTGGTCCCCTCCTCATTTTGTCTGGCTCAGACAAGATTAAATAAACGTCCCTAGACTACTGAACTCAAGATTGGTAGCAAAAGGACCTGAACCGACTAGTCTCTTGCCAGAACCCACTTTCCGAATCACCATCTGTCAGGAGGCAGAAAGGAAAGACTGTCGTGACAGACCTTTGGAAATGGAAACACGAGTGCATCAGGGCGACAGTAACCCAGCACAGCACGTCTAAGCAGATTGCTCCGAAATTATCTGGGTCTCTTTCCTGTTTAATTTTTTAAATTGTGAGAGCTTTTTTTTACTGCCTCCCCAGACAGTACAACATGAGGGGGAAAGAAACGTGTCCAGGAGGCCCTGTTGCTCCATTGAATTCTTACTGTCAGACTTCGGTGGCCCGGAATGTTCTGGAAATGGGGCACTCAGGCTGCATGAATGTGCCCTTTATTCCAAAAACAGGTCAGTCCATTTTCCGCCTTGAGTAAACATGGTGTGCTGATAAGAATCAAATATTTCAGTGTGGGGCTGTGCAAAGATGCATTCTCAACTCTACCACTGAGATAACCTGTGCCCTTAAACAGTAATAATAGTAACTCTTACTCCCTGAGTCTTCCCAGGTGCTAGGGACATTCCAAGTGCTTTATAGGTATTAACTCATTAAGCTCCTCAAACCAATCTTGGGAGTAAGTACTCTTATTAACCCCAGTCACCCTAGGTGGCTCAGTGGATAAAGAATCTGCCTGTAATGCAGGAGACACAAGAGATGCAGGTTCGATCCCTGGGTTGGGAAGATCCCCTGGAGGAAGGCATGGCAACCCACCCCAGTATTCTTGGCTGGAGAATCCTGTGGACAGAGGAGCCTGGTGAGCTGTGGTCCGTGGGATCACAAAGAGCCAGACACTACTGCAGCAATTGAGCACAGCACAGCAATCCTAGTCACAGAGACACAGAGATGTTGGGCAACTTGCTCAAAGTCACATGGCAGAGCCAGGACATGAACGTGGGCCGTCTGTCTCCCGAGAATGAGTTTTAACCAGCTCTCTTTTGTGACTCTCAGCTTCATCTCTAGATTGTGGGAAATGCATTCAATCCTATTTCCAGTTGGAAAAATCTATGCTTTTAAGACTGAGAACCTGGCAGGAGTTTTGAGTGGTCAGTGTGAGTGCAGAAACGATAGGCAACTGGGCTGCAGCAGGAACAAGGCTATCCCAGGAAGGTCCACCGTCCTGGTTCCCTTTCCATCATGTTCTCACTTGTGTCTACTCTCCTGTCATTTGCTACTTTTCTTGCCTGATGTTTGCAGAAATAAGAGCCCATGTGTGCATGTCTACCCCCAGACATCTTTCCCCTCGGTGTGAAATTTAAAAAAAAAAAAAAACCATGAAAAAACAAAAATGAAACTCTTGTGGTCCCTTGGTGTTGATTAGCTTTAAAAGCACTCTTACATGTCTGTTCTTACTTGATTCACATAGAAACCCTGTGTGGACAGACAGGGGAGAGTCCCATTTTACAGGTGAGGAAATAGAGGTTGAGATGGCTGATCTTAAGGTCGCAGTTATCTCCTGCTTCCTGTATTTCCTGGGTCCTTCCTCAGGGTTTTTCTTACATTTCTGTACTAATCTTAGCAGACAGAGTCTTCGATTGATCCCAGCCACTTCCCTCGCTATTGTCACCACTAGATTAGTTATAAATTCCCACCAGCATGGCAAATATCCTTTACTGAGTGCCTTCAATGTGCTAGGAACTGTAGTAAGGACTTTTCACATTTTATGTCCTTCTAATCCCCACGATGGGGCTTCCCAGGTGGCTCAGCAGTAAATAGCCTGCCTGTCAATGCAGGAGACGGGGGCTTAATCTCTGGGTCGGGAAGATCCCCTGGAGAAGGAAATGACGGCCCACTACAGCATTCTTGCCTGGGAAATCCCATGGACAGAGGAACCTGGCGGGCTACAGTCCAGAGGGTCGCAAAGGATCGGACATGACTGAACGGCTGAGCATGCACGCAGTCCCCACAATACCCCTTTAAGATGTATAGCACTGTGACCCCCATTTTACAGATGAGGGGCCTGAGGCCACATGGCCCCAGGGCGACCCATACATGTAGTCACACAGTGAGGAAGTGGTTAACCCAGCATCCGCCCGTGTTAACTCAACTTGTCTGGTGACCCCTCCTGGTTAAAGCCTGCCGTGACTCCTGGTCGTGACTCCTGGATAGAGGACAGTGCTCAAACTTCTTGGGGTGGTGTGCAGGGGTCCCTGAGCCCGAGGCACTCACCCCTCTGGCCCGTGCCCTAGCCCCTGCACCTTCACACTCAGCCACACTCAACCACCCTGCTCAGGCCATGCCCTTGTCCTGCACCATGCCTCTCCACTGCCCTCCTTGGAATGCACCCTCCTTCCCCTTCTGACTGGTGATTTCCTGTCCATCCTCCAGGGCCCAGGCCAAAGCCGCCTTCTCCCTGCAGCCTCCGGTGACCCGCCATCCCCCATGCCCTTCTCCCTGCCCAGTGTCACTCTGCCCCAGGGCACCCCGAACCACGCCCCTCTGCTGCATAGCTCACCTGCTGTCACTGGCCCCAAACCCAGCCCACAGAGAGAGGGACAGGGACAGCAAGAGCAGTGTGCTTGTGCAAGGACCGGGCTAAGAGCTATCTGATTCCTTGTGGTTTTTTAAAAACATGTGCCAGCCCAACACTGTGTGGCTGGTGTCCGGACCATGGGCCACCAGTGTGTCTCCTGGGAGCTCCTCGGGCATTCTTGTGCTTCACTGCACTGTCGGTGCTTAAACGAAGGAGGGAGAAAGGAGGAGAGGAGAGAAGGAGGACTTACCCTTTCTAGACCTGGCAATTTGGCTTCCATAAAACAAGCTGTATTCATCTGCTCTAGCTGTTGTAACAAAATACCATACACTGGGTGGCTTAAACATGTATTTCCTTGCAGTTTCTGGAGGCTGGAAGGCCAAGAGCAAGGTTCCATCCAGTTCTGTTTCTGGTGATGACTCTCTTCCTTGCTTGTAGGCGGCTACCTTCTAGTTGCGTCCTCATATGGCCTCTTCTTGGCTTTTGTACTCGGAGAGAGCAAGCTCTCTGGTGTCTCTAAGAACACGAATTTTATGCGATCAGGTCCCCATTGTTATGACCTCATTTAACCACCGTTAGAAGTCCCATTTCCAAATACAGTCACACTGGGGTTAGGGCTCCAACATGGCTTCCCAAGTGGCGCGAGTAGTAAAGAAACCGCCTTCCAATGCAGGAGCCGTAAGAGACGTGGGTTCAATCCCTGGGTCAAGAAGATCCCCTGGACTAGGAAATGGCAGCCCACTCCAGTATTCTTGCCTGGAAAATCCCATAGACAGAGGAGCCTGGTGGGCTACAGTCCATGGGGTCACAAAGAGTTGGACACAACTGAAGCAACTCAGCACGCAGGCATATAAATTCAGGGTATGGAGGACACACATTCAGTCCATATCACATGGCATGCAGATCACTCAATCCACAGGTCTTCCCTGTATCCTCACTATGGGGATTCTGAAAGCACCAAAGGCAAACAGCAGAGTCCAGTGGTCAAAATCACGGGCTTTCCTATCAGGCAAAGTCAAGTTTGATACCTAGTTCCACCACTTGCTGGCCAAGTGACCTTAGACAATCCACCCAACTTCTCTGAGCCTCACACCCCTTATTGTGAAAGGAGGAAAGTGATGCTGACCACACAGGGCTTGTGTGAGGATGAAGCGAGATCCAGGCATGTCCACCACGCCCAGCATCGCTGGGGACCCCACTGCAGGAACAGTTACTGAGTGTATCCTCTGTGTATTGGGCTCTGAGCTGGGTGTGGGGTATCCGGTGGCAAGCAGGACAGAGCGATGCCTTCTTTTCATTCTCCCTCAAAGAGCCAGATGATAAACAAAGCGAATGGGATATGGGCTGTAAAGAAATAAAACAGGCAGAGGGCAGGATGGAAGGAAAGCCCTCACTGGGGAGGTGACTTGGACAAGAAGCTGAGGCCAAAGACTTGGGGCAGAGTCTTCCAGGTGGGGAAGCGGCAGTCGTGAAGGCCTGAAGGTGGGCAGGTTGGATGGCTGCACGAGCAGTTGGCATTCATCGTGATGGCTGCAGTTGTATTGCATGGGACCCCACCGTTGGAGGCCACCACCCCGCAGAGACACAGGACTGTTGCCCAACCCTCCAGCCCTGGAGCAGGGCCGAGCCGAACCAGCTCTCAGAGGGGAGCAGAGCCTTGACTGGCATGCTGGGGATGGCAGGACAGGGGAGGAGGAAGATTTGGCATTGTGGGCTGGGTGGGGGGGGCAGCGAGCATCCCTGCGGGAAGAGGGGAGTTTGGTTGAAGAGCCTGGAATCTGAGGGGCCCTCGGAGATGGCTCAGGCCTGAGCCCAGTCCAAGAGCAGTGTCAAGCCAGGAGCCCGAGGCGCCCCATGGATGAGCTCGGCGTGAGCTGATGAGGGCAGCAGCCCCCATTACCACAGCCGGGTGGGCAGGGTGCTCGTTCTGGAGACTGGGCGCCCCACTCGAGATGCAGGGCCCGGGCGGAAATCCAGCGCTGTGAGTCATGACCAGACGTACAGCCTGTCAGGGGGATCGGGGCCGAGGAGAACAGGTTTCCTGGAAGCTTCCAGAGTGTGGGGGAGGGGTCCGCTGAGGACAGGTGCCGGTGGGGGCAGGGCCGAGCCAGGAGACCCGCTGGGGGGCCGGGCCGGCTGCACTGGGGCCGAACTTTCCGTGGCCACGGGGGGAGTCAGCCTGATGCCCGTGGACCCAACTGAGGCACATTTGGGGTCCTCTGTCTCCCCTCCCACAGTGTGTCTGGAGTTTCCTGGACTTCTGAGAGGTCGCATGCCCCTCGGGGTGTGGATGTGGGAAGAGCAGCCCAACTGGGACTTCTGTGTTGTCATCCCATAAACTTGGATTATGTCCAAGGACATCCCCAAGCCCAGCCCCTCTCTGGTCCTCCATCCTCTCACCTGCAAATGAATGGGATAAATTGGGAGCTCTCCAAGGTTCCGCCCAGACAATTCCTTTGTCTTCCTCCCTATAGATAGGAATGGGGGCTTCCCAGGTAGCCCTAGTGGTAAAGAACCCGCCTGCAATGCAGGAGACATAATGAAACACGAGGTCGATCCCTGGGGTGGGAGAATCCCCTGGAGGAGGGCCTGGCAACCCACTCCAGTATTCTTGCCTGGAGAATCCCACGGACAGAGGAGCCTGCCAGGCTACAGTCCATAGAGTTGCAGGGTGTCGGACACGACTGAAGCGACTCGGCACACAGATGAGAGACGCTGAGGCCACGGAACAAGGAGCCTGCTCTGGGGAAGCCCATTTGGAGCTTGGCGAGATCTGCTCCCTCCCCCACCCCACCCCATGTTCCAGTGTCCTGCAGCCCCTTCCCGATCTCCTTCCTGGCCACCTCTTACCCTCCTTCTACCCGTGCTCCTCATCTGCAGACGTGGAGGCTCAGCCATTCCTGGGGTGGGTGGATCCCAAGTCTAAGCCAAGTGAAGAACTCCCAGGGCCACGGCCATCTGTGTGTTCTCACTGGGATAAGTGGGCAGGACCTCCTCCAGCCACCTCCTGTCTGAATCCTACACATCCTTCAATCCACTTCAAATGGCACCTCCACCAGGAAGCCTTCCAGATCACCCCTACCAGAGTCATCACCTTACCGAGCCTCCCCCAGGCATCCCACTTCACAATTCTGCCAGTGCCATTTTTACTTTTGTTGTTGTTTAGTCGCTAAGTCGTGTCCGACTCTGCGACCCCATGGACTGTAGCCAGCCAAGCTCCACTGTCCATAGGGTTTCCCAGGCAAGAATACTGGAGTGGGTTGCCATTTCCTCCTCCAGGGGATCTTCCTGATCCAGGGATCAAACCCACGTGTCCTGCACTGGCAAGTGGACTCTTTACCACTGAGCCACCAAGAAAGCCCCATTTTTTTACTTACTGGTGTTGTAATTGTTTGTGCAAACATCATAGCTCCTGTACACAATTCCAGACTCACTGGACACAGTCACCAAATTGCCCGGTTTTGCCCATGCTCATCAGCAGCCGCCTCTTTGGCATCTGATGTGGTGTTTGGATTCTAGTGTTGGATTCTAGTTTGGATTCTAGATATTTGCAGAATAAATGGAGTTTTCTTTCTTCTGTGCAGCAGAAAGATTCTTGCCTTCCAGAATGAACGGTTGGATGTGTAAGAGCATGTGTTCTATGGCTGCGCTGGGTAGAATCTTAGCTCCACCGTTGACACATGGCGGGACCCTGGACAAGTTACTAACACTCCTGCCTCAGTTTCCCCACGTGTAAAGCGAGGATCATCATAACCTCCCTACCTCACAGGCTGGCTGTGAAGGGTAAATGAGTCATGCTTGTCAAATGCTTGATGTCATGCCCAGCAGAGACCTGATTCAGTAAGCACAGTTGTTAGATTTTGGCAGTCTGATATGTAAATTTTTCTTTGATTTTTTTTTCTTTTTTTAATATTACACTGTCTTGCAGAATTCGAGTTTGGCTTTAGGTAGTTGCCAGGTCCTGTCCAATCCTTGCATTCATTTAACCTGTATCGGGTATTCAGTGCCATCTGCGGAGTCCCTAGATACGCTGGCTTGGAGCAGGGGGCAGGGAAGGGAGAGACGAGCCTTCACTGGCGCAACTGCTCGCCAGCTTGGGGCTAGCAGCCACATTAAGCACTCTTACTCAGTTCATGTGACTCGACAAATTTGGAATGTGTTGGGGAGAGAGAGTTTTTCCAGCTATGAGTCAGTACATTTATGCTCTCTCACACACACATTTAAAATTTTTAAAAAGAAAGAGACTTTAGCGAGAATTCATTTATGAGTGCAGAGTGGACATCTCTGAAAACTGTGTTTTGACCCTGAAGGCAAATAATACTTAAGATATTTAATAAAGAGTTCAAAATAAGAGTCAAGGGAGAGAAAACACAACTAGCTGCTTTTTTCCTTCTGTATTCTTAGTCGCTGAAGTGCACGTTGGAGAACCCAATATAGCATGGGTTTATAAAGCACCTCCTGGATACCCCAATTTATACTCAGCATAGTGGGGAAATAAATATATGAAAGAAGGGAGGCAGAACCAGCCTTTACTAAGCACCTGTTATGTGCCAAGTAATCGGAGCTGGGGTCGGGGTACATGTCCCAAGTTCAAGAGACAGCGTGGGGAAAATGGAATAATTGTGTTCGGACATGCTTGGGCTCAAACCACAGCAGCCAACTTTTAGAATGTTATATAAGTCCCATCTTAGCCCATTTTGTGGATGGCAAAACTAAGGCTCAGAGGAGAGAAAATAATTTGTCTATGGACACAAAGCTCTTAAGTGGTGGAAACCATATTCTAAACGGGGTCTGTTAACCTTCTGCCTTATGCCGGACAAAATATGTGATACAGCAGTTTTCAGATATCACACGAGACAACACAGGATTGTGCTAGCTGGGAGAAGAGAAACAAACAGAGCGAGCTCTACAATTGCACCAGCTTGCTGCCTCAAAGCAGTTTCCAGAATGCAGTATGAGGAGGAATCGCCCCCCAAAAGGAAAAATAAATAAACAAACTAGGTCTGTGAGTCTCCCTATGGTGAAGAAATTTGGGCTAAATCAGTGTCCCTGAGGCTGAGTGTCCCCAGGAAGGAGGGAAGCTGGCACACCCATTCTCAGTGATCACACTTGGCATTTCCTAAGCAGGTACCACTTTCTCGTAGACCAGTCCCTTTAACCACCTCCAGACACGACTGAGCGCGCGCACGCACGCGCATTCACACACACACTTGACACAACTGAGCGCGCGCGCACACACACACGTTAGGGATGATGAAGAACCCGCGCGCGCGGCGCGCACACACGCACACACACACACACGCACACACATTAGGGATGACGAAGAACCTGCTTTTTGTCCAGGCTGGTCCAGTCTGCTGTTGTTTACTTTAAAGAAAGAAACCAGCACCCGCCCAGAGCGCTCGCGTTTCCAGCTCACTTACATCTCTTTTGCACGGGCTCATTTTCATAGACTCCCAGTCTCCAGGGAGCCGTGTCTTTCCCTCGGAAACATGAGCTGTAATCAAAGGTGTATTCATCCGCACACATCTGCCGACAACCACGCCGGAGCCATGGTTCCCCGAGGCCTGACAGAAGGAGGCTCAGGCCAGGTGCCCGGGGAGAATTTTTCCCTACACAAATCAGATTGCCCTGTGGTTGCTCTTTGTAAAGATGGCAGAGTCCCAGGCGGTGCTTCTCACGTTGCCAGAGGACCTGAGGGGACCAAGGAGGAAATAGGATTCCACCATCCGTTCAACAAAGACTGTTGCGGGTCACCATGTGCCGAGAACTGCAGACCCTGAGAATCCAGCTCTTCTGGTGACTTCCCATCACTGACAGGTATAAAGACACAGCTTTTTAAGGGCCAGCGAGTCCCTGGAGGAGCTGGCTGCTGCTCCTTCTCTGGCCTGCTCAGCCTTAGCCACTCTGGCCAGCTTCCATTGCTGGATGTCCCGTGCACCTCCTTCTGCCTCTGCCCTGTATACATTCCCTCTGGCTTTCTGGATTCTTCCTTCCTCTCTTGGCCAGGTTTGCTGCCGCTTGCCTTTCAGATCCAGCTGCCCTCCCCCAGGCCCTCCATCTGCCTCCCTGATGATCTTGCCACCATTGTGTGTGCTTCCCCATCACGTCATTGGAGTCTCTTTGGCCCAGCTGCAAGGGTGCATGCATGCATGCTAAGTCGCTTCAGTCATGTCTGACTCTGTGACACTATGGACTGTAGCCCACCAGGCTCCTTGGTCCGTGGGATTCTCCAAGCAAGAACTCTGGAGTGGGTTGCCATTTCCTTCTCCAGAGGATCTTTCCCACCCAGGGATCGAACCCACGTCTCTGAAGTCTCCTACATTGCTAGGCAGATTCTTTACCACTATCACCACTTGGGAAGTCCTGCAAGGATAGGGCTCACTTTATCTCCCCAGTGCTGGCCCAAAGCCAGTGCCCCACAGAGAGCTGTTGGAGGGAGACTTCCCTGGTGGTCCAGTGGTTAAGAATCTGCCTCGCAATGCAGGGGACTTGGGTTCAATCCCTAGTTGGGGAACTGAGATCCTACAGGTCAGGGGGCAACTAAGCCCATGCTCTCTGGAGCCCACGCGCCACAAAGATAGATCTCAGGTGCTGCAACTAAGAACTGGTGCAGCCAAATAAATAAAGAAATATTTTTTAAAAGATTGCTGAAGGAATGAAGAGACAGCAGTGAGCAAATTAAACACTGCCCTGCCTGGTGCTGGGCACATCTTCTTAGAGTGTTGATTATATTTGACAATTTTCAGGGGAAATATTTGGGAACAAACACAGACCAATTCTAGAGTAGCATGCAGTGTCCTCGTCAATGTTCAATGCTTCAAGTTGCACCCACACACCCTGGGGAGGTTGTGAACTCAGCTTCCTCTATAGTCTCGAGTGGGAACATAGGGTCTTTGTGGAAGAGTAGGTTGGAGTTGGTGGAAGAGCTGGTCCAGTTTGCCAGCAGCTCCAGCCATGGAGTCAAAGTTTAAGGGGAAACACTAGGAGTAGTGGGGAATAGAAAGACCGTTCAGTTGGGCCTGAGTTAAAACCTGTCACTGGATGTTTCCTCTTGTGACTCGGGGTGATACGTGTGATCACTCTAAGATTCAGATTTGTTGTCTGCAAAGTGGGTATTGAGTACTTGCTCCTCAGAGTTGCTGTGATGAAGAGAGAGAAGCCGTGGAAGACCCACTCAGTGCCCAGCACAGGGCAAGCACTCAGGAAGTGGTGACCTTTGCACTCGTCCTTCGCTGATCGCTCTTATGAATTAAAGGTGTTGTTGGTGTCCA